AGACCATCCTGGTCAACATGGTGAAACCCCGTCTCTACTAAAAATACAAAACATTAGCTGGGCATGGTGGTGCGTGCCTGTAATCCCAGCTACTCGGGAGGCTGAGGCAGGAGAATTGCCTGAACCCAGGAGGCGGAGGTTGCGGTGAGCCGAGATCGCGCCATTGCACTCCAGCCTGGGTAACAAGAGCGAAACTCCGTCTCAAAAAAAAAAAAAAAAAGATTCACTCTTGGTGTAGTTCTATGAGTTTTGACAAATGTACAGTGACATTTATCTACCTTTATAGTATTACAGAGAATAATTTCACTGCTCAAAAAATCCCTGGTGACTACATGTTTATCCCTTTACTTTCTTCCCCTCAAACTCCTGGCAACCACTGATCTTTTTACTGTTTCCACAATTTTGCCTTTTCCAGGATGTCATATATTTGCCACTATTGTGTAGCCTTTTCAGATTGGCTTCTTTCACACATTCTTGAATATGTATCCAAGGTTCTTCCATGTCTTTTCCTGGCTTGATGGCTCATTTCTTTTTAGTGTTGAATAATATTCCACTGTCTTGTATATCACAGTCTACTTATTCATTCATCTACTGAAGGACATCTGGACTGCTGCCAAGCTTTGGCAATTACAAATAAATAATGCTATAAACATCATGTTTTGGTTTTTTGTGTAGACTTAAATTTTCAGCTCCTTTGGTTAAGCAGTAAGGAGTGTCATTGCGAGATTGAATGGTACAGATAGGTTTAGGTTTGTAAGAAATTGCTAAACTGTCTTTTCTCTTTCTCTTGATGGTGTCTTCTGCAGAACAGAAGTTTTAAATTTTAATAAAGTCTAACCTACCAATTATTTCCTTCATGGGTGTGCCTCTGGTTTTCCATCTGAAAAGTTATCACCAACTCCAGTGACACTCAGTATTTTGTTTACTTTCACTTGGTGTTCCTGTCATTGTGATGAGACTACATTTATTTTGGGGGTAGGTGAAAAATGTTTTGCACTTCACTGCCAGGGATTACTTGTGGTTGTTGTTAATACCTTACTTTTGTGGGAACTAATGGTATTTATGTTTTTGTGTTAACATTAAAGAACCAGCTTTTTTAAATAGGGTAACTTTAATTCAGCTTAAATCTGCAAATTTGTGAAATTTTAGACCAAGAAATGACATGAAAGAGTGTCTAGTTCAAGTTCTTCATTTTCCAAATGAAGGTACAAAGAATAAGAAATATGACATGATCTGCATGAGGTCATACAGTGAATTATTAATGAAGACAGAACTTAGAATTGCTAACCATGTTAAAGAACTGAGATAGGCTGGGTGTGGTGGCTCATGCCTGTAATCCTAGCACTTTGGGAGGCCGAGGTGGGCAGATCATGAGGTCAAGAGATTGAGACCATCCTGGCCAACATGGTGAAACTCTGTCTCTACTGAAAATACAAAAATCAGCTGGGCATGGTGGTGCGCACTTGTAGTCCCAGCTACTTGGGAGGCTGAGGCAGAAGAACTGCTTGAACCTGGGAGGCGGAGCCTACAGGGAGGCGGAGGTTGCAGTGAGCTGAGATTGTGCCAAAAAAAAAAAAAAAAAAAAAAGAAAAAGAAAAGAACTGAGATAAAAGATGTATTGATAATTTTTTCTTGTATAATAAGTACTTTTGATGATAGATGTTTATTTCTTATTCTTTTAGACTTGGTGTGTGGCTTCTAATTTTTAAGAGAGTAAGTTTTAAAACAGTGAAAAATATAAACCGTTTTTTTTTTTTCCCCCCAAAGGCAAACAGTCTTTATTATGAGAAAGCAGTGTTATCTAGGAAAGTCACATGCTGGTTTCTTTTTAATAAAATGACAAAGCAGATTTCTTAAAATAATTTACAAAGGGCAGAAATTGCTCTTGAACAGGCTACCCCTCCCGGCATACCCACAGCACTCTGCATCGAGCATATAAATAGGTACCTGTGAGCCCAGGGTCTTAAGCCTGGAAATATCTCCTATGCCTTCCTCTGAGTCCCTGGTAGGGAATGCAGGGATGAGAGTGGGGCCCTCAAGAGCCTTGGCACCGGAAACACAGATGGTGAGTGACTGCAGATGACTCCCCCAAAACCAGACACCTGGGTACACGGTTAAGAGCTCTCAAACATCTGATGCTAGCACTTCACATTACAGATGAGGCAAATACAAAGCTTAAAGTCAGGTGTATCATGAGTTTCTAAGCTCAAGAGTCCCTTGGGAAAGCAGAAGGTACAATTCTCCCCACCTCTGCAAGACACTCTCCCCAAGACACTCTCAGGCTATGGCTGGCAGTCACCGATGGGTCCAGATGTGGCCGGAGCAGGGGGGCTCCAGGCCCCTTGTTAGTCAGGTCCTCATTAGCAGGGGCCCAGGGGTACTGATGACTCCTGGGGACTTCCTCCAGGAAGCGCATGCGGAAGAACAGACGTCCTTGGGTGTGAAGCCTTGGTGGTCAGACAGGGCTTGTTTCCTGCAGGCACTTCCTCAGCCATGAATGAGAGAGATGATGTCACCACTCTCTTCTGCCATGATGACTTCTTCTAGCTCTTGGGACAGCTTCTGAAGGTGCTGAATTCCCGCCCCCACAGGCTCTAGGTCACTGTCAGACTCAATGGGAGAGCAGAGGGGCTCTGTAGAGGAGTAGGGGCTCCGGAAGGCTGCCTCCCGCCTTGACCGCCGTAATGGGTGGGCACATGAGCCCATCCGGGCAGAGAGGCAGTGATGCTCCTTCTCCCAGGGGTCTGTGGGTGAGTGGGCAGGGGCAGCTCTAGACAGCTGAGTGCTCTTCTGGCTCAGGCTGTGAGTTGGGGATCCACTGCCCTTCTGTGCCCCTCTCTTCCTCCTCCTGGCCTTCATCTGGGTCTCCACCAGCCACTTGGTGCCACTTTGGCAGGACTCCTGGATTCTCTGGGACATGGCACCCAAGGCACTCTTAGCTGAGCGAGCTGCTGCTTGGAGGCCCTGCTGCCCTGGCTCTGGGGTTTCCAGGAGGGGCCTGCACGGAGGTTGAGGTTGACGGCTTTCAGGGGCAGCCTCCTTTGGAACTGTCTGCACAGGGACCCCAGGGCCCTGGAGGAGGTCTCCTGATGACAGGCCACAGGCTGCAGCTCCTTGCTGTCCTCCAGCTGCTCCTGGTGCCGGAGAGATCTCCGGCGCACGGAGGTCCCAATGCTCTGCCACCGAGAAGCCATCTGCCTGGCCAAGTCTTTTCTGCCCACTACACCCCGACACCAATGCTGATCACACCCGAGCACCATAAACCGTTTTTATACTTTTCCAATGTTGCAGCTAACTGACAGGTTTGTTTATTACGGCAAATCAAACAAATAAATGTTGAGAAGTATTCAATTCACTAAGGTATTTGTGGAACATTTCTTTTCAGGGTTTTTTTTTTTCTTTTTTTAGACAGAGCCTCACTCTGTCACCCAGGCTGGAGTTCGGTGGTACAATCTTAGCTCACTGCAACTTCAACCTCCCGAGAAGCTGGGACTACAGGCATGCATCACCACGCCCAACCAATTTTTTTTTTGTATCTTTATTTATTTACATTTATTTATTTATTTATTTTTTGAGTTGGATTCTTGCTCTGTCACCCAGGCTGGAATGCAGTGGCATGATCTGAGCTCACTGCAACCTTCACCTCCTGGGTTCAAGTGTTTCTCCTACCTCAGCCTCCCTAGTAGCTGGGATTACAGGCACGCGCCACCACACCCAGCTAATTTTTTTTTTTTTTTTTTTTTTTTTTGAGACGGAGTTTCACTCGTTACCCAGGCTGGAGTGCAATGGCGCGATCTCGGCTCACCGCAACCTCCGCGTCCTGGGTTCAGGCAATTCTCCTGCCTCAGCCTCCTGAGTAGCTGGGATTACAGGCATGCGCCACCATGACCAGCTGATTTTTTGTATTTTTAGTAGAGATGGGGTTTCACCATGTTGACCACAATGGTCTCAATCTCTTGACCTCGTGATCTACCCACCTCAGCCTCCCAAAGTACTGGGATTACAGACGTGAGCCACCGCGCCCGGCCTAATTTTTTGTATTTTTAATAGAGACCGGGTTTCACCATGTTGAACAAACTAGTCTCGAACTCCTGACCTCAGGTGATCCACTTGTCTTGGCCTCCCAAAGTGCTAGGATTACAGGTATGAGCCACCACACAAGGCCCATGACAACTGTATCATAGTTATTGTATGGATACTGTGGAAGGGAACATAGAACATAGGTGAGTAATATGCCAAAATTATCTGTACTATTTTTGCAACTATTCTATAAACCTAAAATTACTTTAAAATAAAACAAAAAATGGGACTGGCGTGGTGGCTCACGCCTGTAATCCTAGCTCTTTGGGAGGCCAAGGCGGGTGGACCACCTGAGGTCAGGAGTTCATGACCTGCCTGGCCAACATGGTGAAGCCCTATTTCTACAAAAATACAAAAATTAGCCAGACAGAATGGTGGGTGCCTGTAATCAAATAGCTTGATCCTGGGAAGCAGAGGTTACAGTGACCCAAGATCATGCCATTGCACTTCAGCCTGGGGAACAGAGGAGACTCCATCTCAAAAACAAACAAAACAAAAAACCTTCTAGTTATGGAATAATTTCCAAGACATACAATTAAGAGGAAAAAAAATGAAACTGCTAGAAAACGTGCTTGCATACTACCCTTAGGGAAGGTTAAGAGTGCAGAATGCTTAGTATATGGGTAATACACTTATAAAGAGTGCAGAATGCTTATTATATGGTTAATATGTTATATGGGAAAGAATTGCCACACAATTAGAAATAGTGGGGTTGTCTTTGAGAAGGTTAACTAAGTGGTTTTCTTTTCACTCTGAATCCTTTTGACCTTTTTTTTTTTTTTTTTTGAGACAGAGTTTCTCTGTCACCCAGGCTGGAGTGCAATGGTGCCATCATGGCTCACTGCAACCTCCCCCTCCTGGGTTCATGCAATTCTCCAACCTCAGCCTCCCAAATAGCTGGAATTACAGGCACCCACCATCATGCCTGGCTAATTTTTGTATTTTTCACCACGCTAGGCAGGCTGATCTTGAACTCCTGACCTCAGATGCTTTGCCCGCCTTGGCCTCCCAAAGTATTGGGACTACAGGCATGAGCCAGGTGCCCAGCCACCTTTTGTCTCTTTTGAATGTTATACTAGCAAAACAAAAACAGGAAGGATGAAAAATATGATTTCAAACCCCCAGGACACAACTATAGTAGCAGTATTAGTAGTAGTCATGATGATAACAATAATGATGGTATTTTATTTTTGCCTCTCAACCCACCTGAGTCATTCTGATGAACTTAGACTCATCAGGCACATTCTTTCTAAAAACAGTCAGTATGGCATCTGATTATCTGAAGGCATCAACAGGACTTGAAGAGTATTTTTTGCTGCTGTACCTTTCCTTCAAAATCTCACTTAGATCTCTGAAATTCCTTTAGATCTAGATGATCATGTAACATACACAAACCAGGGCACTTTGAGAATAAAAAAGGTGCTAAGGCTGGGTGCAGTGGCTCACACCTATAATTTCAGCACTTTGAAAAGCCAAGGTGGGAGGATTGCTTGAGCGCAGGAGTTCAAGATCAGCCCAGGCAACACAGTGACACCCCATCTTTACAAAAAATTTTTAAATTTTTGTAAAAATTTCTTTTTTTTTTTTTAAAGATATTTTATGCTTAATGTGATGGTTAATACTGAGTAAAAATTTCTTTGAATGACGGTGTGCACCTATAGTCCCAGGTACTCAAGAGACTGAAGGAGGAGGATCTCTTGAGTTCAGGAGTTGGAGGCTGCAGTAAGCTATGATCTTGCCACTTCAGTCCAGCCTGGGTGACAGTGCAAGACCCTGTCTCAGAAAAAAACAAAAAACAAAAGGTGCTAACAGCAATTATTCCAAGACAAAAGGTATAAATCAATACTTGTGGTCATCCTAGTAAAAATTCACAGGTCCTATATTACAGTATTCCTAAAATTTAGTTTTAATGACTGCTTGTAGGTATGAGCTAAGGAAGGTAAAAAAGAAAATTAAAAAAATGATGACTGCTTGGTACACGTATGTCATTATCTAAATAACCTCTTCCTTTCTCAATACTATATGCTTTCAAAATTGAAAAATAACTTTTCATTTATGCCGATCAGAAATTCAAGCTCAAAAGGGTCAGACTGGAAGCAATCTAGCTTTTCTTTGAAAAAAAAAAAAAAAAAAAAAAAAAAGTATTAGTTTTGGTTTTGTTTTTTTTTTCTGAGACTGTCGCACAGTCTGGAGTGTAATGGCGCAATCTCAGCTCACTGCAACCTCTGCCTCCGAGATTCATGCGATTCTCCTGCCTCAGCCTCCCGAGTAGCTGGGATTACAGGCGCAGGCCACCCACACCCAGCTAATTTTTGTATTTTTAGTAGAGATGGGGTTTCACCATGTTTGTCAGGCTGGTCTTGAATTCCTGATCTCGTGATCTGCCTGCCTTGGCCTCCCAAAGTGCTGGGATTACAGGCGTGAGCCACTGCGCCTAGCCAAAAGTATTAGATTTTAAACTACATGTACACACCCAACTGACTTTCCTTCAACTGCCTCCACTCACAAAACAAAACTTCAATGTGTGCTAGGTCTAATGGCAAATGAATACAACCTGGCTGACCTGCTCTGAATGTTATTAAAACACACGGTAGCTCTAGCTCCTTACAGGGTAAGGATTCTACTTTGAAACACAGGGCAAATGTGGAAACTTCTCTCTTACAAATTTGGTTGTGGTGATCATTTAAGTATAAATAAAGACAGGAATTGCCTTAAATGTATCCAGATAAATGAAATCTTATTATTTGCTAACTGGTGCTGATTCTGGCATCCACATAATCCCACAGCTGTACCCTTTACGTGATTAAACTATATAGTAATTAGTAGAGAGAAATTAGAGCTGGAGAAGAAGGAATTATTAGGACAAGTAAAAGATCACAGTCAACAGCCTATAATTTCAAAAAGCAAAACACAATAGTGAAACTCTAAAGAGTTGTTCTTATGCTCTTCCCTCTTCCTATAACTATTAAAATTTAATACAACTTATTTGAAAAACATTTGTAAATGAATATTACTCAAAGTTGGTGGAACCTGGCTCACACTTGTAACCCCAGCACTCTGGAAGGCAGGAAGATCACAAGAGGTCAGGAGTTCAAGACCTGCTTGGGTCAAAAAGGAAGACCTGCCCCCATCTCGACAAAAAATACAAAAAAAAAAAAAAAAAAAAATTAACTGAGTGTGGTGGTACACGCCTGTAGTCCCCGATGCTCAGGAGGCTGCAGTGGGAGGATCGCCTGAGTCCAGGAAGTCAAGGCTATAGTAAGCAGTGATCACATCACTGTACTCTATCCTGGGCAAAAGAGTGAAATCCTGTCTCAATAAGTAAACGTATGTATGTGCCTTTAAAAATGGAATTTAAAAAGAAAATGTCCCAGTAGAAAAAGCCTATTCAAAAAGAAACGGACATCCTGAAGATTATTAGTGTCATTTCACTAGTATATTTAAATTTTATTTCAATTCACGGCTGGGTGCAGTAGCTAATGCCTGTAATCCCAGCATTTTGGGAGGCCGAGGTGTGTGGATCACCTGAGGTCAGGAGTTAGAGACCAGCCTGGCCAACGTGGTGAAATCCCATCTCTACTAAAAATACAGAAATTGGCCAAGTGTGGTGGTGAGTGCCTGTAGTCCCAGATACTAGGGAGGCGGAGGCAAGATAATTGCTTGAACCTGGGAAGCGGAGACTGCAGTGAGCCAAGATCATGCCACTGCACTCCAGCCTGGGCAGCAGAGTGAGACTGTCTCAAAAAAAAAAAAAAATTTATTTCAATTTATGAGGTAGACAGAAACACCAATGTGATCAATTCCTAATGAACCTAATTCTTCACTGTTGCTTCCATAATCATATAGTCTGATTTATAACAATTTCCAGTATATTATTATAAAAAGCAAAGCTCTCTGAAGTCAGAGACACCAGAAATCAAGTCATTACCATCTGCTAGTTGTATAACCTTGGGCAAACTACCAAACCTCTCTCTAGGCCCATTTCCCCTGCTGTAAAATCCAGATTATTACACTATAGTATTGTTGTACACATTGTGAGACTTAAAGAGGCGCAAAGCAATAGATTATTATTTTAAAACACTGCTGAGGTCGGTCAATAACCCAGAGGAATAAATTTCACTTACTACATAAATTTAATTCTATGTTAATTGGTAGGAAAGACAACTGGCCAGCAATCTCAGCAAATAACTAAAAACTTGAAAACACATCACACTGGGTCAAGGGTATAGGAATATTACACACTCATCTAAAAATACATGTACACCTGTTTGACATATCAAATTTTTCTGGATAATTTGATTAGGACAAGAAA